TCCCTTAACATGCCTAAGCTCTTTCTTGCTCTTAAATATAATTAATCAATTACTAAAAGAAAATTCTCAATGTTTGGTTATCCTCACCCTCGTACAGGGAAACAAAGGGCAGTTATAAAGTTAATCTAAATTAACTCTGAATCTATCAAGAACCAGTTGACGCAGGCTACCAGTTTCAATGAGACTACTATCTGACGTAATTGTTGATGATGTCTTCGTACAGACAGGGTTGAGGTGGTAGTGCCTCGTTGATGTTGTTAACTGCCAAGCATTGGTTGTCTTGTTAAAGAAGTGATAGCGTTCAAATCGGGCAAAACAGTACAGCTGATCATCTTCACTCTGGTACCCCACAACATGGGATTTTATAGCCTTGGAGCATCCAGCACACTTTCTGATGTTACCTGCAATCTTTTTCAGAACTAATGGCCCTGAAGGTGGAGGATCTACTGGTCTTTGAGCTCTCCTAAGAACAAGAGTTGTGGGATTGACAACTTCAGATTGAAAATTTGTACCAGTGTCCTGCACATCTGCATCTGCATCTGTGGAATGGTGCACTTCTACCTCGGTTGCAGAAAGAGGCCGTTTTCTGGATGGAGCCTTCCCTCCAACATTTTTTGGGGCGGACGCTGCTGAGATTTTGTGGAGACTTCGGCCTTGGTAGGCCCCCACAATGTTCGCCACACAATTTAAATGGATGGCAATAGCCACGCAATGGTGACAAAGGTTGTTACGCCCAAAGAAACTGCAATCACATGTACATTTGCCACTCTTAAAGCACTGGACCCGGTGAGGAAGTTGTCCACCACTGTCCACAAAGTAGACACTGTCCTTAAAGCCCTGGCGAAACTGGTCATTGTTCAGAACCGTCTTGGCTTTCTCTAGGAGGCTGGATTGTTCCTCTCTGGAAAAGTGGCCACTAAGAGCAGAAAGATCGCTGAGATCACTAGCAGACTTTCTTGAAGATGGACGGGGCGTGGAACTGCACAAGGGTTGGACCTTAAAATTGCAGCACTTCTTGTAAGCTTCTGGGTCTGGGCAAAGTTTCCTGACCTTTTTAATATATGCCTTTCTCTCTTCTAGGCTCATGTCTGCATGACCCTTGCTTGGCAAGTGACACTTGAACTGTTGGCTGACTTCCCATTTGTCTGATAACTGGAACCACGCCATTTCCTCTTCCTGATCGAATGATTGTACAAAGTCATAGAGGTTGACAATGAGTCTGTCCATTTCCTGGGGAATGTACTTCATCCAATCTTTCAACATGTCGTTAACTGATTCCGGAATGTTCTGTTCGTATGGTTTGTCTCCCAAGCCAAGATCTTTCACAACAAATGCGGCCATCTTTGAACGCATGTCATCAAGCTTGTGGTCACGGAAATACTGGGTAAAGGCTGATGGACCCGATTTCTCGGACCGTTCCAGGGTGTCCCAATCAGACATGAGTAGTGTAGATTTTCTGTCAAACTCTTCTAGTGAACTGGACCAAATTAAGCCACGTCTTGGTTGGAAGAGATCTTGACAAATGCGGGACACTAATGACGAGGAGAGACCAAGCTTTCGACATTTCTCCTTAATATTTCTTTGGCTGTGAATGTAACACAGCAAAGGTGCCGCATTTCTGAAACCGGCAGCAAGAGCATTTGTTAAAGCGCGTTCGTCATCTGTGCCAGTGGCATGAAGAAATTCACTGAGACCAGGCTTTTCGCGTATAAGGCAATGAATAAATGACAGGTATGTGGACTCATCTCTGGTCATGCAGATCATTACTGGGCCTAAAAAGGAGGGGTGGTTGTTGGCTCCCTTCACTCGAAGAACTGTGTTCTTAAAACTTGTTACAAGCACATAGAAAGGACCGAGTTGAAATGTCACGTCCACTCCGAGCTCAGAGACTTGATTTACCCTTTCATGACAGCAAAATTTCACGATATTGTCCAACTGTTGGTCAGTGAATAGCATGACTGTAGGGAGATCGTTGCATACTACTTCACGGATGAAACCAGGAAAAGTTGTCTTCTGCAGTTCTAGAACAGATGCCAGTGGGTCTTTTTTAACTGATGGTTTACGAGTTAGGTATTCTACCTGCTTCAAGTTGCGTGGGATAGAACTGATACTGTCTACTTCACAGATACCACCGGCTTCCTTTCTTGCGAAGTACAGTGCCCTCTTAGGACCAAATTCCTGGCTTTTTCGGCAACTTTTCGCTTGGTGCTCTCTTTCGATCGAATATGTGGCATATTCGAGGAGGTGCGATTACCATGCTTTTTGTACTGTAAATTTTGATGGCTTTCCATCAAAATTGTAATTAAACACAAGTGGAAACCATTTTTCAATGTCCTTGCCAAATTCGATTGACACTATGGTCTTGTGATAGGATGTGTAGGAGGAACATGTGTATGTTCTTCTCTTCACCACAACATCTGAACTTGTCTGAGTGTTGACCTTTTCGAGTTCAGTCACTTTCCCCTCCTCATCTCTTATGATGGTATAAAACTTGGCCTTACAGCCTGTCATTGCCCATGAACCATTCTCATCTGAGTACAAATCTTTCCTGTGTTGCAGTGCATCAATGTCCAAGACAAATGTTCCATTGTCCTGATATCCAATGGGAACAGCTTTGCTTATCATGGCGGGATTATCTTCTTGGCAATTCATAATAAGTGGGACGACATAGGGATTATCGAGGCTCTCAATAGTTACCACCTTGCACTCAGAATTACCATTGTAAAGTTTGTAGTTCCTTCCGTTCAGTTTCTGGGGTGATTTAGACACATCAAAACGCTCTTCCTCACCATCAGATTCAAGGTTCTATAAACAAAAATCGTGTAAACATTAGATAAAAATTACATCTGCTATTTTTAATTGTGACATAAGCAATCATGTCACAAGGTGATGATGTCATAGACTCCACCAACTTTTATAATCAGATATAAAAACAAAAGGGTATCCCAGCTGATTTGTTTAGACAGATTTGATTTTTTTTTCAGCAAGACCCCAGGGGGGGAGGAGCGATACTGCAATATACATGATTAAGAGGTCCAACATATTTTTGGCAGGTATTTTGTTGGGTGCAAAATTTCCTCCCATCAAGTATACTGCAAGTACCTCCCCACAAAAGTTGCAAATGTGTTAATAGTAACTTTTCCATTAAATATCCACCTTCCCCACAGAAGGGATTCTTTATAAGAATTCCCCAACCCCTCACCCTGGAATTTCCAGTTCAACCCATACATTCAGACCCCCAAGAATTTACAATCCCTTTTGTGTGGGGGATATCGCTGAAATACACATTTAAAGTTTCACCAAGGGTAAAGCAGATGATTGGTCTGTCAGCATTTATTATTATATCCTCACTGAGTTCAGACAGATCAAGTACCTCTTGAAGACTCCACCATGCTTTGTAAACAAACAAAAGGAACAGGGGGAGTGGGGATTCTGTGAGATATTATATATACTCTGACTAATTACCTCCGTCTCACTCGCATTGCTGCCTATATATATGGGATGTTCATCACTGCTGCCAGAATCATCACAATCTTTGCTTGTAATAGTCAACTCCTGATGTTCCTTTAAGTCACAAATCATTTTATAAGTCAATCAATCAAGCACATTTACACCCAGCCTAATGTCCTGATACATGATTTATTACAGTCTTTCATTTCTTTAAATTTCATAAAGATAATTAATCATTTCAGTAAACTAAATGAAGGAAAATACAACAAGAACTGAAAGCTAGAAATATATATAATACAATATAAGCTTATTCAGCTGACTACCTTTGTATTTTAATTTGTTAAAAAAATGCTATGTACAATGAATAATTCTCCCGCGTTCCAACAAACAATTCTCATGTAATCACAATTAAAATCAAACATTAAAAAATCCGAAAGTAGGTAATTCGCTGCTCTATTTTACTGATTTTAAAATCGGATATTTGTGGCTAACCAGTGCATCGTTTAAAATCAACTCACCTCATCACTTGATATTTCAAAAACATCCGCCTTTCTCCTAAAAGGAATAAATATATGTTTGCAATCGGTTCTAGGTGTAAATAAATGCAGATGGCCCCAAAAAACAAAAGGATAAAGGTGATTAATATTCAAGAATCTTACCGTGCAGCCATGGCGCAGGAGAGAAGTCGCGTGGTTTTTCGTGAAGCCTGGGTCGAGTTCGTGATTGCGAACGTGGGAGACTAGGCCGAGCAAAATGGCGGAGGCACAAATGACACAAACAACACGAACGAAGTTCGACCGATCCTCGCAATATTTACAAAATATTACAGATCTGTATTAATTCTGCGGAAGTCTAAGTCAGCGTTCGAATTTTCGCCGACACGACATGCACACGGTCAGTTTAATATGTTTAAAAGTCAAATGTTTATTTTTATTTTTTAATGCGTTTTAAAGGGGGTCCGTAGAGGGGGTCCGTAGAGGGGGTCCGCTGACCGGTCCGCAAGGTAGTCCATGGACCCGGTCCGTAGGGGGGCCCATGGACCCGGGGTCAGTGTTTTCGGGTCACCCCGGTCATGTCTAGTTACTAACCGGTCAAAATAAATTATTACCTGCCAAACAAATTTTTGCTCGGACCGGTCAAAAGACAGTAAAAACTCGTAGGTAAGAACCTTGATTTTCCCATTGCATTAACAGGTACGTTCTTAAAAACTGGTTATTGGCAAAAAATTTGTCTATTTTTCTAAAATGAAAAGGTTCTTATTTTCTGAAGGAAAAAAAACATTGCAGATTATGTCTCCCAAAGAGGTTCACCTGAATATTTTCCAGGTGTATAGAATTTTTTTTATAGATTTGAGAAAATAAAGATGTGTGTCAAATATTGGGCTAAACACTGGTTCTTGTATAGAGGGGGCCTAATTATAACTGGCAAGTTTAGCCTAACAGGTTCCTAAAAACCAGGTTCTTAGTCACAGCTAGGTTTTTACTGTATTGAAGACATTGTACTTTGCAGTAATAGCCAAATTAAGACAAAAATTATGTGATCATAAATGCTAAAAAACTCCTTGTGTTGAGAGATGGGGAAATATTATAAACCAGTTTTGAGTGTGGTTATCAAGTTGTTCATTCATTGGAGGGTCCAGTGTAGTAAATAATATTTCCAGGAATATTGTCAAGCTCAGCTCGTTTATTCTTAAAAACAATTCCCCATTAGAGTTAAACCAGAAATTACAACTTTTGGCTCAGTATTGTTCTGACATGTTTTCTTTTAACAATAGGTGTATGTAGGGGTGAGGGAAAATTCTTGCCCAACTAAAGATTTTATCTTATCTTCTTAGCCATGGAAGAACATGAAAGTCAGGTCCTCCAGGTTGAATGTAGCATGGAATGCTCTCTGCTTGGTGAACAAGAGCAAAGTCACTCAGCAGGTACTGATATAGTTCATGGTAGATGGTATTTATTATAGAATTGCATAATTGAGTAAAATCACGCATTCTGATTGGTTAACGAAGAGAGGTATTCAGTGTGGAATTGCGAGTTGAAAACGAGGCTAAGGGATGTTTTTTCGCATCTACGTAACAACTATCGTCAAATTGTAACACAACAACTACAAAAAAGGTTTTCTACAATGTCATTTTAAAATGTTTTCAAAATCATTGTCACCTTTTGTATATCCTTTCTTAACATACTGTAATGTCGCCTGGTCCTCCACCTACTGTTCCAGCCTAAACTGTATTTACCTTTTGCAAAAGCGTCTAGTGCGGCTCATAAGAAAAGCTCACTATCTAGCAAATACCGCCCCTTTGTTTAGCCAGCTTAAAGTCCTTGACATATTTAGTATTAATTCATTTTCTGTCACTACTTTTATGTATTCTTATCACCATAATCTTTTGCCTAGTAGCTTTCGAGACTTGTTCTTAAGTAGTAATCAAGTCCATCAATACCAAAATTCGACTGGCCTCTCAGTATAGACCTCATTTTTGTAGATCAAATATAAAGCAATTCAGCATCCTTTACCGAGGACCTAAAATCTGGAATTCGTTGCCTGTTTCACTAATTAGCTCTCCTTCTATATTTGTTGTTAAAAAAAATTTAAGGAATTATCTCACTGATAGCCGATCTGTCGCTTAATTTTCTGATCTTGCTCACTCTGCACTCAGCCATGAATTTAGTTCTCTAGGTAGTTGAAGGAAGCCTATTAATATAAGCTTCAAGCTTCGTTAGACTTCCTTGTCACATTAATTTTATAATTTAATGAACACCTTTTGTTTATGTTGTATAAGGTGTTGTGAGTGACTAAATAAATAAATAGTTAAAAACAAACAAAAGCATTTTTTTAAAGTGATCCGGAGGTTCTTTCTTGTGTTGAACTAAACTACAAATTCTTGGAGAGGTATAAAAAACCCCTTTTGCCAGCGACAATGAGAAAACAAGAAAATCCTGTGAACACAGCCCAGAAAATGGCAAGCCAAATTCAAACAAACAAAACGGAGAAGCGACAATGGAGGAAGTGCCAGGGTCAATTGTCACATATACAGAAGAAGAAATAAATACCTTCAAAGATCACATGGTCCCTGAAAACACGAAAAAGAGTATGCCACTTGCATTCATCCTGAATCATGGTACTTAGAAAAGTACAAAACAGAGCTGAACTTGAACAGCATTTTTAAAACGTTTCAAGGTACTTACCTTATATCAATCGCAACGTTAAAATCAGTGCTTTGCCTTGGACACTTCATTTCTTTCAGTTTTGCTACCGAAGAGGTAAAAGGTGTAAATTATTTTCCTTCGCGAGCAAATGACCAATTTGAAAAAGGATGCTATAGATAACGGCTTGTAAATTCAATGAAATGCCTCTATTTATCCTTACAATTAGTGTGAAGCTTGTTCATGTGTAAAAAAGTTTGAAAACAAATGTAAAAACAAGCACAAGGTACAAAAAAAGTTGCCAAAGGTTCAAACGTGTATGACTGACCTTGCTTCCTATTCGCTAACGCAATGACAGGTTTGACATTTGACTTTGAAATGGCTTTCTGGGGCGTGCGCTCAGGATAAAAACAAACAGTATTATTGGTGTTTTCTTTTTTTTCTGATTTTTATTCGATTATGCGATTCAAGGAAAATCCATTACCTGACTCATGAATTCCACGTTAAATTGCACTTGAAAACCAATATCGGTTTTCGTGTGCAATTTAACGTGGAATTCCCTCGTCAGGTAATGAATTTTCCTATAAAACTTAAGAATATACGTGGAAAAATTTCTTGAATCAGATTGGCTTAGAGCAGTGCAGTTTTTAGTAAACACAGTACAAAAACAAGGAAACATAAGGCACAAATAAGGAAATAAAGTGCAAATTTCTCAGAGAATGAAAACCTGTGATTGGCTAATAAACAATCAGTGTTCTTCAGCAGCGCGGGCAACTGGCAGTTTCACTGGGAACTCTTTTCCAAAGTGCCAGCTACTCTTATGAGTCAAAACATAAAAAAAAACTGTCTGTAACTTTTATCTTGAATTTTTTGTAAGTTCCATTTTTTTCCGCGAAGGATAAAACGGCGCCCGAAGCAAATCGTGTTCATTTCTTAGAATACTAAAAACATGCAATTTCATCGGGAAAATAACAAACAAACAAAAAAGCCACAAGAGCTTGTTTGAAAGTTTATCGAAAAACACATGAAAATACATGGAACTAAAGTGCCTTGAACAGCTACAAAAGAAGACAGGTGTTGTTTATTCATGGTTGCGAAGCCACTCGCTGAGGCACTTGCCGATAGATAGCTGCGGCTTGTTTATCCGACATGAAGAATATAAATCACAAGCAACCAGAATACAGGCTATGCAGCCATTCACTACAGCAATCGAGGCGTCAGTAAAGCTTCTTTTCTTGTTCAGCAAAACCAGCTTGTGGCTTCAAACAACTTCATAACAAGCGACCAAGGTAATAGTTTATCTCCGTTGTTCTTACTTTTGTAACTGCTCCAAAAATCCAAATTCACAGTAATTTTGATGGCTGTTAAGAATTATTTTTCTTCACATTATCTGCCAGGTTTTTTTAGCTGTCCCACTGTGTAAAATCCTAGAATCTCGATGAGTTTTTAAAAGTGTTCATCTCTACAATGTTTTGATTTTTCATTCATCCAGTCCAGGCGAGTCGGTTCACGCGTTGACAGTTCTGATAGACATGTGACATGTGAATAGCGGAACTCCCTTGTCTTTTCTGGTTTGTTCTAACAAGATTCAAAGGGATTTTGTGGGTGTTTTTAATAAAATAATTATTATTCCACTTGCGCTTGTTGGATGAGATGATTATAATTGCCAACTCGGCGCTATGCGTCTCGTTGGCTATTTACCATCTCATATCCAACGTGCCCTCGTGGAATAATTGTTAATTATAAAATAACTAAGATAGTACGTGCATTCTGATTGGTTAAAAACCAATAGTTTATTGTGCCGGTAAAATCATAGAAAACTGAAACATGCTTTAAAGTTATTTTATAAAAGTAAAAGACCACATTTTCTAAAGGTTTGCTGGTGTAATAACCCACTTGGGATGTTGGGAGAAGACTGGAAAAGCTTGTAAACCACCAGCTTAACATCTCAGATCTCTGGGCCTCATGCCCCCAAACCCCCCCTTAGAT